ATGTACATACATATATACATATATGCATATATACATATACACGTACATATACACATATATACATACATATAAACACACCTGAACGCGTCCAACACACGCATGCCTCGCACCATCATGCGGGTTCGGATGGTCGCCACAATCGCACGGAACTCTACGAGATTGTAGTTATTCGCCACTTCAAACACAGTCTTGAGTGGTGTCTTGCGCACGTCTGTGGGTTTTCTTCGTCTGCAGGCGCGTGTGCCCAGGTAGAAGTTTTCACGCATAGCCATGGGGTTGGTCTGGTGGGTAGGTATATGGGATGTATGCGTGTTATATATGGATGTATGTGTGATATACATGAATGTATGTGTGTTATACATGCATGCATGTGTGCTATGTATGAATGTATGTGTGTTGTATATGCATGTTTGTGTGTTGTATATAAGTGTATTTGTGTCATATATGCATGTATGTGTGTTATGTATGTAGTTTGGAAGTTTTCACGATTGGCCACGGGATTAACCGGTCACGTATATGGTTGGAATTTACGTATGGATGCATATATGGTAAATATGAATATAGTTATCACGCATATATCATATGTATATAGTTATCAAGCATGTATGAATAGTATATATATAAATATATATATATATATATATATATATATATATATATATATATATATATACATATCATGTATGTATGACTGGATTCACGGTGTTTGGTATGTGTGCATAGCCGATTATGTGGAATATCCAATTCGAAGTGGACACATACGGCTTTTGGTTGGTTCCCGATTGACACTGACACAACACACACTCACACTGACACACGCGTGTGCTTGTGAGGTGAGTGAGATACGACGAATGCAACACAGCAACACAGGAGTTACGCACCATCAGCGGTACAGGCCATAACAAGATCAACAAGCTATGCACACACCCACACACACACATCCACTCAAGCACACACACAAACAGGAGCACACACATACATACAATCAGACACACCCATACAAAAACACACATAAACAGAGAAACACACACATACATACAATCAGACACATAAACATAAACACACACATACATACAAAACCACACATAAACAGAAAAACACACACACAAACAGAGGAAAACACACATGACAAGATCAGCCGCATCTCAATCACCACATTGGGATCATCCTAAGCATAGAGAAGCGTGTCCTTACCTACATGACAAATACAACAGAGGCAACAGTACCCTTACCTACATGACACAATCAACAGAGACAACAATACCCTTACCTACCTGACACACACAACAGAGACAACAGTACCCTTACCTGTATAGCACACAACAGGAGACCCACTTCATCGTCGGTGTAGTCTGTGATGTTGTCAAAGAACTTCGCACACTGGGCTGCGGCCACGTGCTGTATATGTGGCGCAGGTACAAAACCCAAGGAACTATCTAACAACATAGACCCTATACGCAAACCTACAGCCGTCTTAGTGCCTGTGTATGGAGAAGAGGGTAGATGGGTATGAGGTATGAAGTGAAGGGTGTATGAGTGAGGGAGGATGGTATAAACAGAGAGGGTTGTGTAGAGATATGTAGGGACATGTACATACATGCATACATGCATACATACACACACACACACACCCACACACACATATATATATAATATACATATACATGTACATATACGTGTACATATTCATGTACATATACATGTATATATACATATACATATACATATACATATACATATACATATACATATACATATACATATACGTATATATATACAAACTCATACACACACACACACACACACACACACACACACACACACACACACACACTATATATATATATATATATATACTATATATATATATATATATATATATATATATATTACTTCGCCGTACATTGAAATCTGCTAGGCAATGCATGTATTATAAATCATTCCCCGTTTTTTATACGTTTCTATGGTAATTAAACAAACTTGAACACTGCTGTTGTGTTATAAGTTGTTGTAAATCTTATAGTGGGAACGCGTCAGGACATGCACTAAATCGCGGTCGATGCACATGTCAGAATTTACAAATCATCGACAAGGAACGACTGGAACACCAATATATAAAAAATCACAACATACCTGTCGTAATTGAGACTCTCATACTGGGTCATATGCGCCCCGTGCTTGATAACACTACCTCGGATATGGAACTGACCCCTGCCAACACTACCCAAGTTGTGCATGAAACTCCCGTATTGGGAGCCTCGTCTGCTTGGCGGATTAGGCTGTTCGGTCGCCATGTTGAGTTTGGTTGGCGTGGTTGACTGTATTGCACGTGTGTGCAATTAGGTCATTCTCTAGTGGGAGTTAGCTGGGTTCATGGATGTTAGTACACACCCCGACCTATATGTAGAACGAATGTGCGTGAAAACTGAAACAGTATGTCACAGTAGCTCAACAAACCTACAGTTTCCGAGCTGTATATACTCGTACGCCGCCTTCCGCTGTAAGTAGTAATGTCGAGTATTGGGCTATTAGTATCCGATCAGTAGGATCAGGGTAGACAGCAACAGTTGTCGAAATACTTAAATATATAATGGACAAGAGAGTTGTTCAACAACAACAACAACAGCTTACTGCACCACCATCCACGCCAACAAGTTATATACAATCGACAAAACATGATGACATTTGAAAAAAAGCCAAAGTAAAAAGCCAAAGTGATAGTTCACCTGGGGAAATGGAAGTAGATTAGTGGATGATTCGACTCTTCACATCACTCAATGAATCATCTGAAGACTGAAAGCGCGTCTCTGTGTTTGTGATTGTCCCTGCTGAAAAACCCTTTGGCAATTTGACAGCTGTCGGCTGACAGCTGAAATCGCCATCAATATATGTGCACTGTAACCATAAATTGACACTATCGTGACATTGTGGGATTTTATTTCCTATTGCAAATAGTTTACTACATTGTATTGTTGTATTTAAAATTAGCTCTTTAAAATAGTACACAAACAAAATGTTAGAAACTATGATGTATATCCATAAACAATTATACACAACAATATTTACGACACATTAATTTTCCGTCTCATAGAAATAGAAAGAAACTCAAGACTGTATTTATATCCTCGCGGAGAAAAGCTGTTGTCTTAAATATAAATTCTATAATTGGGTTTTTAGAGTTCTCATTGGTCCGCTTTATATTGAAACCTAGTTTACATTTTTTTTTATCGACTAGAGTATAAGCCATAGATACTACCCTAAGTTGGGTTTTGTTATACGCCCGCCAAAATATCCTAGACAAGCCAATTTCATTTATCTTCACATGCAAGTTTAACATATGTATGTATAAATATATGTCATTAAATAAATATATGATGCATGTTTTATTACGCACCATACACATGAGAGATATATATGCGAAGCGCTGGACGCGATGTATGAACAGACGACTATTGCTTAGAAATTGAAAACGAGTTATAGTTTTGTTTGCTGCAGTGTTTACATCAATAGCTTTGAACTTACTAGAGTGCGGGTGACTATTCAACAGCATACCTGGTCGAAAATGTGAAGCGTTCGCTCCTTTTCTCGGTCACAGATCACCCTCACTTGAGCTATCTCGTATATATAACATATGTAACATACGAATATATATAGATACATATATATGTACATAAATATAAAAAATATAAAAATATATGAAAGGAGTCTATCGGGGGAGGTTTCAACATCAGCTGGGCGTACTAAGCCGGTCTCTCACGCGGGTGTCCAGCAAATACGAGCATGAAGGTAAATACCGATTATCACCATATAATATGTTCAACTGAACTGGATGGGCCGCAAGCTAACCGTACATGTGCCCGAATATCTTTGCAAAGCCAAATAAGCAAAATTTGTGGTAAGCGAGTTCATCTCAACACTATGTATAGTCTGTGTGTGCATGATATGTTCATGTGTCAGATTGAGCACCGGTACGTTAGAGTTACGGCTAAACCACCAGCAGAATGTGTAGCAATTGAGCTTATATCAATGCTACAGATAAGAGGGGCGTGTACAATGTGCGCACGTATCAGTTTGTGATCTTTTCTCTCTGAGGTGCGGAAGGTGCCATCTATTCGTAGAGGAAAGTGGAGCTGTTGTATCTCTTGAGGCGTCGCTGTGTCATGGGCCAATTAATGAACTAATTGATACAAATCCATCGATAAGCTCGTCGGTATGGTACAATATAGCTGCACTACCAATTCACCTGTGATGTGTATGTATATTCACTCGTGCAAGGGTAGATACTGTCTAGTAGTTGTGTAACCGATCATATGTTTGTGCATACGTTAGGGGTGGATTTTTCATGCTGTTATGTATCTAATAATGCATCTGTACTCTCGTTTAGAAGTTCTCATGTGTTTGCACACACGTTTAAAGCGGCTTTATTCATTCAAATATGTATCTAATCATATGTTTGTACTCTCGTTTAGAGGTTCTCATGTGTTTGCTCACACGCTAGGGACGGCTTTATTCATGCTGTTATGTAACTAATATGTTTCTGTACTCTCGTTCAGAGGTTCTCATATGTTTATCCGCACGCTAGGGACGGCTATATTCATGTTGTTGTGTAACTAATAATGTATCTGTACTCTCGTTTGGAAGTTCTCATGTGTTTGCACACACATTAAAAGTGGCTTTATTCATTCAAATACGTATCTATTCATATATCTGTACTCTCGTTTAGAGGTTTTCATGTGTTTATCCACACGCTAGGGACGGCTTTATTCATGCTGATTTGTAACTGAGAATGTATCTGTCCTCTCCTTTAGTGGTTCTCATATGTCTGCAAACACGTTAGGTGCGGCTTTATTCATTCAATATTTAATATGTTTGTACTCGCGTTTAGAGGTTCTCATGTGTTTATCCACACGCTAAGGGCGGCTTTATTCAGGCTGTTATGTAACTAATAGTGTATCTGTACTCTCGTTTAGAGGTTCTCATGTGTTTGCACACACGTTAGGGGCGGTTTTATTCATTCAAAT